TTGAGATGGAGTCTTGCTCTGTTGTCCAGGCTGGAGTGCGGTGGCATGATCGTGGCTCACTGCAACCTCCGCCTCCGGGGTTCAAGCAATTCTCCTACCTCAGCCTCCTGAGTAGCTGGGATTACCCGTGCCTACCACCACACCCAGCTCATTTTTTGTATCTTTAGTAGAGATGGGGTTTTCACCATGTTGACTGGCTGGTCTCAAATTCCTGAGCTCAGGTGATCTGCCTGCCTTGGCTTCCCAAAATGCTGGGATTACAGCCATGAGTCACTGCACTCTGTCTAATTTTCAGTCTTTCTTCTAAAGCTACAAAGCTATAAGCAGTGTTTTAGTTGCATTGCACAGCATTTGATATGTCATATTTTTCACTGTTGTTCTTGTCAACATATTTTACACCTTCCACTGTGATTGACCCACTGATTGTTTAGCAATGTGCCATGTCATTTCCAAGCATTTGGAGACTTTCCAGTCATTTTTCTGATTGACTTTTGATTTAATTCAGAGAGAGCGCATTGTATGATTTCAGTCCTTCGAAATTTGCTGAGACTTGTATAAGGACGATGATATAGTCTACTTTGATAAACATTCTATGTGCACATGGGAAGAATGTGTATTTTACAGCTGTTGGGGGAAGTGTTGTACATATGTGAAGTAGGTCAAGTTGGTTAATCCTATTGTTCAAACTGTGTGAGGTTGAAGGATAAAGAAACCAGTGGGATAGAGTCCCGAAACAGAACACACACACACACACACACACACTTCAGTTGATTTATGTTTCGATGTTGAGGACTCCTCCAATTGGGTGGGGAAAAAATGATGCTTTTCAATAAATGATGCCAGGTCAATTGGATATCCACGTGGAAAAAAATGAGCTCTGGCCCCTACCACACCATTCACAATAATTAATATGTAATCAATCAGTAGATCTAAATATGAGCCCTAAAACAGCTTCTAAAAGAAAACACAGGAAAATATCCTAACAGAAAGGTACTAACCGTAAAGACAATATTGACAAATTGGACATCACTAAGGGTAACTCCTGTTGATCAAAAGTAAACCACAAAATAGAGGAAGATATTTGCAATATCTTCAATAAATGCGAATCCAAGATTCCATCCACAATACAAAGGGCACGCGCATCCAGACTATAGAAAGAACCTCTGCCAACGAAGACGGGCAGCCCAGTTTTCAAATGGACCCGGCGAGCACGCGGGCGGCTGGGGCGGGCTCCAGGTCCAGGTGCTCCGCCTGCGGGGCGGCTCCGGCCCGGTCGGCTTCTCCGGGCGCGTCCCGGGAACTCGCTCGGGCCTCCTTAAGCCGGGAGGCGGTCGGGGAAGCTCGGGCCGCGCCTCGCGACTCCGCCCCCGGGGCTGCCCTTCCCTCCGCAGGCCGAGCCCCCTTCCCTTAGAAGGCCGAGCCTCTCGCGCGCCCGCACTCGCGCGGTGCCCCCCTCGCCGCCCAGGCCCCCCACGCCGCGGCCGGAGCCCCCGGACGACCTCGCGCTCCCGGCTCGGGCGTGGACGGGGCGCGCGTCCTCGCGGGTCTGAATGGAAGGGTCGAGGTCGGCGGCGGCGGCGAGCAGCTCCTGAAGCCAGAGCCCCAGCCCGGCGCCCGCGCCATGCGGCGGGAGAGGTGAGCGCGGCGGGCGTGGCGTCCGTGCCCGGGTGCCCGGGGGACGGCGAGGCGGGGGGCACGCGCGGGACTGCGGGCGGGGAGGCGGGCGGGGTCCGGGGGTCGCCGTGGGGACAAGCTTTGCCCTCCGCCCGCCGCCCACGCACTCGCCTTCGAGGGCGGCCCGGCGGCCGCGGGGAGCTCAGGCCGCAGTCGGGTCCGAAAAGAACGTGGCGCTGGGTGTGTGAAGATTCGGGGCACAAAACGCGAGCGCGGACCCGGCCCTACCCGAGGCCCGCGCCCCGCGCCCCGCGCCCCGCGCTGAGCGCTTGTGCCCGCAGGTGCGGCGCCCCCTGCCCGCGTCGCCGCCATGGAGGTGCTGCGGCGCTCCTCCGTCTTCGCCGCCGAGATCATGGACGCCTTTGACCGCTCGCCCACGGACAAGGAGCTGGTGGCCCAGGCCAAGGCGCTGGGCCGGGAGTTCGTGCACGCGCGGCTGCTGCGCGCCGGCCTCTCCTGGAGCGCCCCCGAGCGCGCCGCGCCGGTCCCGGGGCGCCTGGCCGAGGTGTGCGCCGTGCTGCTGCGCCTGGGTGAGTGCGCGCGCCCCCGCGGGACCCCCAGCCGCGCCTCCTCCCCTGCCGGGCACAGCCTCCTCCCAGGCAGAGACCGGGGCGGGGTTGGGGGATTTGGCCCAGGGGCGCCCACCCCCTGCCGGGGACGGCCAGGCCTTCGGGACAGGCCCACCCACGCGGGAGCTCCCCACCTGCACTCTTCGCCTCCCACACCACAGGCTCCCCACTGGCTGCCTGCTCAGCCCGGATTTCAGACATACTGGCCATAAACAATGGCAGGCCCCAGAAAGGGTAATCTGTTAGTGGCTAAGCTTCCACAGTGACCCTTGTTCTCAGCTGGGCACAGAACCTTGTGGGAGCACGTGTCCCGATGTTTATTTTGGAGAACAGATCCTGGCCTTACTGGCCGAGATCTGCCCGCTGCCCTCTGGATCCGTGGCCTCCGAGGCCCCCTCATTGGAAACTGCGCGCACCGGGCTGGGTAGCCCAAACCCTAGTATTTAGTGGTGCTGTGAGGACTAATGGGGGTGCTCGGTTCTGGGGTCACACACAGCCCGCTGGCTGCCCCCACCTTCTCCAAGGCCTAGACTGTAGAGGGTGGGACCAGCCCTGCTGTGTCCCCTCCCCACAGCCGGGCTGGGGCTGTCACCCATGAATGTTAATTAGGTGCTCAGAGAAGGCACATGGGGCCCTTTGGCCGAGCCCTGGAAGGGGAGGTGACAGCAGAGGCGAAACTGAATCCGTGGCTCTCCAGGCAGCGGGTCAGGGTCGGAGGGTAGGACCATGTGAGGGACACACTGCCTCCTCTTGGGCTGATGTTGGCATGGGCTCTGGGTGGCCCCGTCCTTGTGTGGTGGGTTGGGCCCGGAGAGCAAAGCTGAGTAGACCCGACTTCCCCAGGAGCGTGTATGGGGTGGACAGAATCCATGGGGGCCAGCACAGAGCCCCCAGGAGGAGATGGAGTCCCAGCTGAGAAGGGAAGAAGGGAGAGGTCCCTGGGAGTGAGGGGGTTGGTGGGACTCTGTGAGACCGCCTGCCTGCTGCTGTCTCCAGCCGGGCTCTGAGAATGACCCCAGAGGATCCTTTCAGGGGCCTTCTGAGAAGATGATTCCAGAACCCTGGAATGGCTGGAAGTCCCAGATGGCCAAGGGGGCCCCAGAGGGACACAGCTCCGACCGGAGTCTGCCCTCACAGCTGCTCAGGGTCAGTCCCTGGAGGCCAGCGCTGCCTCCCTGCCCTCGGGCCGCACAGTCAGGAAGAAGCCTGGGTTGTGTCCCCACCTTCAGTCTGGGGCCAGCCTGCAGCAGCCCTGGAGGTCTGTGTTCGGGAGCCGCTGGGCCAGGCCTGGGAATTTCCAGGTCACCACCCCGCGCCACCCCCCCCCCGCCTGCCCCCCTCTCTCCCCGCAGCCTGCCCCCCTCTCCTGGGCTCTGCTTTGGTTCCAGATCTTAACTAACGAAATGCAGAGCAGCTGGCTCAAGGGATGAGGGCGCGCTTATCAGCTGGGATGGTCCAGCCACAGCATTTCCCTGTTTGCTTTGGCTGGATTGCTGGCCGGGCTGGGACTCCGATCCCAGGGTCCTGTGGCATTCCCGGCACCATCTGCCCAGTGCCTGTGCACTGCTGCTGCCAAGGGCGCTACAGGCAGGATCCGGGGGCGGTGGGCCTGTAGGTGACTATCCTTGGCCGCCAGGGCAGGGCTGACGCAATGCCACCTCCAAGCATGTCCCCTTGGCAGCAAGAGCCCGGGTGGGAGTGTGGCATTGTGGGTGGCCCAGGATAGCTGATCAGCCTCCACACCTGAGTGGTCCCTGAGCCAGGCACTCGGGCTTCCGCCTGCCCTCACCCCCATGCTCTCTCTGCCCAGCCCCTCCCCAGGTTGGGCTCTGGCTGCCTGCCTGGTCCCTCCTGCTCTGGGCAGCTCGGCTGCCTGTCGGCCGTGAGTCACCAGCAGGCACAGCCCACGCTCTCACAGGATTCCCGCCCCACCGGCTCAGCTGGCTCAGCCTAGGAACTGGCTCCTCAGAGGGGCAGGACTGGGGGCATCCTCAGCACTTCCTTGGTCCCCTGGTCCCTAGGCGCCAAGGTCGGGGGCTGCTTAAGGGAGGTCAGATGGGGTCAAGTGGGGGTGGAAATCAGACAGGTTGAATGAGGAACAGGATGGCCAGGTGGGGTCAGGTGCAGGGTATGCCCCAAGCCAGCTGTGTCCCAGGGAGCTGAGGCATAGGCCGCCTCTCACCTGCTCTTGTGCCCACACAGGGGATGAGCTGGAGATGATCCGGCCCAGCATCTACCGCAACGTGGCGCACCAGCTGCACATCTCCCTGCAGTCTGAGCCCGTGGTGACCGACGCGTTCCTGGCCGTGGCTGGCCACATCTTCTCCGCAGGTATGCCCAGCCTGCCCATCCCCTGGGACCTCAGGGAGGGATCTGGGGTCCACGGCTCAGGCTCGCAGGGACCCCACGAGCTGGCCCCCACCCACCCTGGCGCTGCCCGGTGCTCACCAGTGCAGTCTTGCTGCTGGAGATGTCTGGAACTGCCCAGCGACCAGCACAGAGCTTCGGGACTCAAAGCACAGCGTTCAGGGTCTCTTGTGGTTCTGGGGGCTGGCAGGGCACACTGGGCAGCTGGCACAGGCTTCTTGAGAGTTGTAGTTGTGTCCAGCATCAGTGGGGCTGGATGACCTGCATGCCTGCTGGGTGGCACGTCCTGGGGCTGCCTGGGTTCCTGCAGTGGCCCCCAAGGGGTGCCTGGGCTTCTCACAGCACGGTGCTGCATCCCAAGGAGTGTCCAGGAGCAGGCTTCCCAGACAGCTCCCAAGTGGACGCTGCCGGGCTGTTAGGATGTACCCTCAGAAGTCACGGGTCAGTCTGCCAGATTCTGCTGGTCAGAGGCGAGCCTCAGGGTCCCAGCATCCAGGGAGGGGACGGCAGCGGGGCAGGAGGTCCAGGAAGACTGGCTCTCGGGGATGTCCGGAGAACAGCAGCACATCTCACCTGGCTGTGCCCGCCTCACCCGTGACCCTCCTGGGCACCTCCATCTCTGCCCAGAGAGGCAAAAACCCGGTTTGCCTCCCTGCTCCTGTTGCTCTGGCTGCCCACCTGCTTCCAGGCCCGCAGGAGGCTCAGGGCTTGTCTCCTCAGCTTGGTGCTCCACTGTCTGCTTGTCCAGCGGCCCCAGCTGGCTTTGCCTAGTGTGGCTTCTGTCTCCTTGCCCCGCGTCATCAGGTCTGGTGCTGCAGACCTCGGCTCCCTGCCTTTGACGCTCTGTGACCCCAAGTCCCATCCTGGCACCCCAAGCCCACCTGGGTGTGGCAGGCACTGAGCACTGCTATTGGGGAGGGTGGCGTGCCTCCCTGATGGGCATGGTCCTCAGGTGTTTTCCAAGTGCTGCCGGGTGCTGGGCACAGCTCCGGGCAGTGACTCTGGGGTGAGCAGGATTCCCTGAAGCTTGCAGGAGGAGAATGCTGTTCACCCGGGCTGGCTTTTTGGAAGACCCCTGGCAGCAGGGAGGCCTCTCGAGCCCTCGTCTGGGAGCTAGTCTGGATCTGTGGCTGATCAGCTGTGTGACTGTGGCTGCTGTCACCTCTGTGGCCTTAGCTGCCTTGTCTGCAGGGCAGTCCCAACAGCAGCAGGAGCTGGGCTGCGGGCAGAGGCGCCAGGGGAAGCCACACGCTTGCTGCAGGAAATGCATCCCACCCCCTGGGGGACCCTCAGAGCCAGGGGCTTTCAGATGGCCTCAGGACCTCCACCCATCGGAGGGCAAGGGGAAGAGGCCAAGAGTGTGAGGGCCACTGTGTCTAGCTCCTACAGACCCCACCCTTGTGGGGTGACCCCTCCTCTCCCAGGCTTCTCCTCCGACCCCTGGTGGGCTGGCCAGAGGCCCAGGGACAGAGTGGGGCTGACACCCTTGGCTGGAGGCCAGGGGAGCAGGGGCCATGGGCGTCTCCAGTGCTATGATTTCTCAGTGCTGACCTCCCTGGACAGAAGTTACTGTGGCTGGGACACCTCCGCTGGTGGAGCGGGCAGTCCGAGTCCTAGGGTGGGAGTCCAGGTGGGGTCCGATCCTGCCCCAGGGCCTGTCTGGCTGTCACAGCACATATTGGAGTGCCCCGGACCACACAAGGGGAGGAACAGTGACCGCGGGCTGTGGTGTGGGGGGTCAGGAGGCAGTGCTGAGCTGGGCGCAGGCGAGACTCCCTGCGTGATGCTCCTGGGCTGGCCTCAGAGCCTGGACTGTCACTGCTCCCTTGTTCCTCTGAGAGATCGTAAATGAATCCTCTTTGGCAGTTTGGCTCCAAGGCCCCCACGTGGCAGTGGGGGCAGCCAGGCCCAGGCCAGGCTGAGGTGTGTCATGGAGCAGACCTGGGTGGGCCGGGGGTGCATATGGGTGGGGGCTTGGGAGTGGGCAGGTGGGTGTGGCTCAGGGGCAGGGGGACAGAGGGGAGGGGAGCCAGGGTCCATGGCACAGTGGGGGCGGGAGGATGGCGGCAGGAGCTGGAGAGCTGGTGAGCTGGTGCCCGCCCCTCCCGCCCGCAGGGTGACAGAGCAGGCGCCTGGAGGAGGAGTGGGTGGGGCCCAGGAAGGAAGCCAGGAGCGGAAGGCATCCTGGGCTGACGACCACCCTCGGCCTTCCCCTGGCTGACGCCGGTGCGTGGGTGGCCACCCGGGTGTCTGTCTCAGGGCCGCTGGGTTTACGAGCTGCAGGCTGGCTTTAAAAGAACAGTCATTTCTGAGCTTGCAGCAGTCTGCCCAGAGGTGGGGCAGGCCCTGGGAGGTGGGCCTCCCTGTTCAGCAGGGAGAGAGGATGGGGCCAGGAGGCCCTGCCTGCCTGGCCTTGCCTGAGCAGGGCCTGGCCTGAGGTGGGGGCGGTGCCTAGGAAGGCTCTGGTTCTGGGTGGGCGTCTGGGGCGCCGGGGGGGAGGGCTGAGGAGAAAGGTGATGGCAGGAATGAGTGGGCACACAGCTGACGGGGACGTGGTGGGGTCAGCGGCCAGGCAGCCCAGGGTACGTGTAGAGTTCTGTTTAAATCTTGTGGTTTTCGAGCTGGGCATGATGGTTCACGCATGTAATTCCAGCACATTGGGAGGCTGAGGCAGGTGGATCACCTGAGATCAGGAGTTTGAGAGCAGCCTGGCCAACATGGAGAAACCCTGTCTGTACTAAAAATACAGAAAATTAGCCAGGTGTGGTGGCAGGCACCTGTAATCCCAGCGACTGGGGAGGCTGAGGCAGGAGAATCGCTTGAGCCTGGGAGGCGGAGGATGCAGTGAGCTGAGATTGCACTCCAGCCTAGGCAGCTTTGTCTCAAAAAAAAAAAAAAAAATCCTGTGGTTTTCACTGTAAAGCCGGAGCCCACTTCCCTGCAGTCAGCATCCCCCCACCGCGCCCAGCACTGCAGGCTTGTCCCACGAAGGCCCGCCCCGCCCCCGCCACGGCAGCCTCCACTCTGCACCTGCTGCCAGGCCGAGGCCCAGGAACTGAGTGACCTGCCATGGGTTTCTTAACCTCTCTGAATCTCAGAGCTGCCTGACTAGGGATGGAGGGCAGGGCTGCCCCCTTCTGCCCTCACTGGCACCCAGACTGTGCCCCTCAGGCCTGCTGGCAGCTGCCCCCCAGCCCTCTTTACCCTTTGTCCATCCCAGTCCTCCTCATCTTGTCCCTTTTGCCTCCAGGGCGAGCCTCCAGCCTCCAAGTGCTTCACTGTCCTTGCCTCCCTGCCAGAGGCCCCTCCCACGCCTGCTACCCCAGTGCACTCTGACCCCCAGGTCTCCTTCCTCCCCTTCTCAGCAGGCGCCCCTAGGGTGTGGCCCTGCCCAGCCCTCCACTGCAGGCCTGGGGCACCACCTGCACCTCCTTCGGCCTGGGGCTTTGGCTTAGTGATGTGAGCAGTGTGAGCGCTGCAGGGCAGGGCTCCGGGGGGTCTCCAGGTCTCCAGCCCCAGGAGCCTCCCACGAAGGCAGAGGCCAACTGATGTCGTTTCTGGCTATTTTCATTTAGGGCTTGAAAGTTCCCGCCCAGGGCTTTCAAAAAACTCATTTCCAAAGTGGTAAAACTCATCATTTCTCCCATTTAGAAGTTGGCAGTAGTTTTTATTTTTTTCTTTGAATTCTAATTGTATTTTCTGTAATTACATATGTACAATATATATTTATTTTGTTATAGTTTTACTATAAGATAAATGAAAATGGCTAGGCACGGTGGCTCATGCCTGTAATCCCAGCACTTTGGGAGGCCAAGGCGGACAGATCACTTGAGGTCAGGGATTTGAGACCAGCCTGGCCAACCTGGTGAAACCCTGTCTCTACCGAAAACATTAAAAAACAGCTGGGTGTGGTGGTGCATGCCTATAGTCCCACTAACTCGGGAGGCAGAGGTAGG